TTATTATTATTATAGTAGTAATAATCATAATTATAGTAATATATAATTATAGTTACAAATACCAAACATTTTTCTCTCTGTGTGGTGATCGAAACTATTTAAAGTAAATTAATTAATGGTAAATTAATTGACATTATTAATAAAAATCAATATTAGATACTTATATATCTAATGTCATGTTGCCGATTGACTGATTGCCTATTTAATTGAAAAACGATAATCGTGTTTTATTTGACACTGGAAGTCTGTCCCATTCTGTCTCATTCCGTGAGCTGTATAGATTATTATATCTCGCTATTATACGTTTAAACGAAAATACGTTTACATGTATAATTAGAATATCCGTTCATTAGAAACATTTTTCCGAATATACGTGTAATTAACTATTATACGTTTAAACGAAAATACGTTTACATGTATAATTAGAATATCCGTTCATTAGAAACATTTTTCCGAATATACGTGTTTTATTATACATTTAAACGAAAATACATTTACATGTATATTTAACATATCCATCCATGAAAAACATCTTTTCGAATATTTTAAAAAACGTTTTTTAAAATATTCGAAAAGATGTTTTTCATGGATGGATATGTTAAATATACATGTAAATGTATTTTCGTTTAAATGTATAATAAAACACGTATATTCGGAAAAATGTTTCTTTTATAAACGGATATGCTAATTAAACGTGTAAACATTTACCTTCAAGTAAACGTTTTTTTGAAAGCGAATATAAACGGATAAATGTTTTACGTTTACACGTATCTTCGAAAAACGGAATAAAATTAGAGTCCTAATATAGATACTGGAGTAACTCTTCCCTGCCTCTTGCCCTCTCCATCTCTACGAAAATGTGTGATGGGGGAGGATGGCCGAACTGCAAGAATGAACCAGGAGAGAGACAGAGACCATCTCCATACGTTTTTTTAGAGACGACGGGGAAGGGAAGACTTTATACTCCAATATGTAAAAAGCTCACAGAATAAGACAGATGATATTTTCGGTTTTCAGTGTCAAGTAAAACACGATTATCGTTTTTCAATTAAATTAGATCGTCAACGTAACTATAAGTATCCAATATCAATTTTCATTAATAATGTCAATTAATTCGCCATTATAATTAATTCACTTTAAATAGTTTTGGTCACCAAGTCACAATTAACACATACGTCTGATTTCGGATAAAGCAAACGAGACATTTTTTATCAATGTCAAATTTTTCCCTCTTTTTCGAGTAATCTTTAAATTATATTTAAACTGTTTTTCATACATGTAGGTAAATATGATATTCCAAACAGAACATAAAGTTAACTTGATATCAAAATGATGTCAAAATAGCTTTAAAATGATCATTAAAAATCACTTTTCAATCAGTCATGATTCATTTTAATATAAAATTTGGTGACATTATCGTGATCTGTTCCGCTTGGGGATATAGATAATATACAATATGTGTAGTATATAATATGTGTATACAAGGTGAGGCATTTAAATTTTGAGACACTTTAATATCTTGAATGCATTTTAGAAAAAAATGTTTCGTGTTATCGTACAGACAGCAGAGGAAAAAGTCAATTGACAATAAAAAGTAACATAAAACGATTGAACCACTACCTTCAAGAATGTAAAAAAAGATTGTTTTCTTCCTTGTTGTACCGAGTGAACAACCAGCTTTACGTGATATATCTTGGGTAATACTAATGTCGGTGGTACTTAAACTTTGAGTACTCATAACTCAAGAAGTTACCATTACAAAAGAGATTGTAATCAGTGTCTCAAAAATGTCTTGCCCTCGGTTGTAAAATTATACAATAAAAAATGAAAACATTTATTTAAAAAATTAAAGGTAACCTTCAAACGACTATTAAAAATCAAACTAATGGTACCATATCTTATATGTTCTCTTCGAAATTATAAAATTTTTGCATGAAACATTTTACAATGAAAACCTTAATTTTCGACAAATCTTAATCCATTATTTAAATAGCCCATCCTGTGCGTGCGCGCGTGTGTGCGCGCGCTCGCGCGCGCGCGCATGCGTGTACTGTATAATATATTTAAAACTTAACATTTAAAACTCTAAATATTATAAATTGATTAATTGCAATGATCGAATATAAAATAAGAATGGAATTCAATGCAACAATAATTTTTTTACAATACATATGTTACAATTTTCATAGAGCACAAATCTTTTGCTAAAGAAAAAATTATTATTTTTCCTCCACATCAATATATATAAAGAATTAAAATAACTTGAAAAAAATTAAACTAAAACTAAAGAATTCAGATTAATTTTTTTAAAAGCTGTTAAAAATCGATTAAGACGTTTTACATTCCTTATCTTTCGATTGTTGTATACTCAAACCAGACTCAATGCCGTTCAAACATGCTGAAGAACGTATTTTAAAAATGTATGAATATTATTTGACCTTGCCTCTGAAGTGTTACTATTCATAGATAAATTTATTGGAGGCGAAAACAAATCGTATCTTTTACATTCGTAGTATATAAATGAGACAGTCGTAATCTGGAGACAAATAAAGAACGATGTAAATACTGTTCAGTGTTCAAACCATGACTAGAAATTGAAATTGAGAGATTGGACTGAAATTTAACCAATCGATACAAAGTTCATTAAACTTGAGATTGGTTTTCTTTCTTCCGATTGATTAAATTCCAATCCAATCTTAATCTTTAGCCTGATCATGGCTTTTAGAGCGGTATTCATAATCAGTTCTTATATTCAAGATCGTCTTAAGTTCTGTCTTGAAGTGTCACGAACCAATCAGAGGGCCGCATTGGCATTAAGATATTACTTAAGACGGTCTTTAAATAAGAACCGACTATGAATACCGGCCTTAATAATTTCCATTTTATCATAGATCTTCGACCCATTGGCCCATTGAGAAATAAGGTTTCGTTTACCTCTCAATATCGCAAATCTTGATCTGTTTTATATATTATATAATAATTATTTTACAAATATTTTATAGTGCTACATACGTGCCATTTCCTTTCCATTCTCCAAAAAATTGATCTTACCGCGAGAAGAGAGATCAAACTGAGCTAGTCGTGTTATCGGGCTGATTTTCTAAGCGTGAATGAAACAATCCTCCACAGACACTCGATTATCTTTGATACATTTTTGTTTTTCTTTTTTTAAGGAGGTAGATAATATAGAACTGTCTTTCTCTCTCTATCGTACGAGAGTTAGACTTATGAAACGCGTACGAGTAATAAATGCATCTCGTCTCGACTTTCTGAAATTTCCAACCAAGGGAGAATGACAAAAAATTACTCCCTTAAAAATCAACATATTCGAGCGAATGATGGCTCGCCAAGCCAGATCTAGAAATGAAAATGCAAAGAGATCGTGGCGAGTAGACAAGTCGCCGACGATTAGAAGTAATCTGCAAGATAGTGCAGTAGTTGGAAAAATCCGTGTATGCATGCACCGTTTAATCCGCACGTGCAGTAGTACATACACGTTAGAGTGATTCGCGTGCATTTAACATTCCGACGAGTGTTTCGCGACGAGTATTCATAATTATGCGACGTTAATCGCTGGGAGTATAATGCCTACGATATCGGCAGCCGAATCGTTCGCGAAATCTGCCTGGCATTACAGTAGGTAATCGTAAAATCGTTTACGTAAATGCTATCGTTTGAAAAACAATCGATCATAAATGATCTCATACCGGTTTTTCCGATTCAACATTGAATAAACTTCTTAATTTCGATACAAGATCAACGTGCCCACAGAGATATATGTGTCTATATAAATCTATGCTTATCTATATGATATGAAGCTTCGAAAGTTCACTCGAACACCGCGAGATCTCGTCTCATCGTCGCTGTATATATATATATATAATAAATAATAAAATAATATGTTCCTTTTTGTAATACAAGTCGACACAAGTTTCTGTCTTTGTTACTCTCTGAATGTCAAGAAAGATAGTGATGTTTGCGTCGACTTGTGTCACTCAGTGTGTATGTGCGCGTGCGCGTGCACGCATTATTTTACTTTTTCTATCTTTTTTCCAGGAAGAAAACGAGATACGAGCGATGCCCGAGCATTTTACCGATATTTCCCGACGCGGTGCGAATCTCTCATCAAAGAAAACTAGTGATTGATTAGTAGAGAAACATTAGCGAGCCACCATCCTGGGTGCCTCTAACAAAATATCACCGCGTATGTGCATGCGTATGATAAACTTTAAATTAAGGTGCAGACACAATAGAAGGAATAAGAAATTTCGTCTGACCGCGGTTTTTCTACAAAAATTCTTAAATGTATATTTGGAAAAGAACTTGTGACATGCGATACTCTCCATTTCGTTCTCTTACATATGGTTTCAACTTTCAACGATATAAAGAAATAAACTTTTCAATTAGGAAATCGTATAATAATTAATCGATCGTAATGAATCATAATGTGTGCGCAACTTTGACTAACGCCAACCAAAGGAAAATTAAGAACGAAAAAGGAAAAGAAAGAACTCGCGATATATTGCTGCAGTGATACATAATTCTATCGCGAAAGTATCATGCGAAAGTGTATATTAACAGTGATGTGTGTAAATCTGACGCGGTGCGATTATAAATACGAAAATGGTCCGATTGGCGTATGTTGTTGTACAGATAAACAATTGCGTGACGCCGAAGACGTAAGACATATCGAAATTCGATTTCGAAGACACGAGCGCGCAGCAATGTAGGTACATACGTAATACATACATATGTATGTACTTTCAACTATCGGAAGTTTGATCGCGCGCCTGCTACGACCTACCAAAAAGCGGAGAACCGATTCCGACATCATTTAATAAGGTTCCCGGTTTTGAAAACTTTTCTTACAGAAAAAAAAAATGCGACGAGAAAACGCGACGATGGCGCACATCTCTTTCGGAATCGAATCGTCCTTTAACTCGTCGCAGAAGAATTCGGATTAATCTTTCCACACGTAGAAAAGAAAAATCCAAAGATTCTAAGGCATAAGTGCGCTCTATACGAGTACGTATTACTATATTACAATTGTCATATTAATTATTATTGGTGCTGATTCTCGTCGTTTTCCTCCTGCGATATGATGCTCGACCTGTTGGAACGCACGTCGAGATCCATTGCGAAGGGTTTCGTCGAGTTGCCGAGAAGCACCTGCGTGCTTTGACTGTCGTCGAGACTCAGCGAGCACTCCAGCGAACTGTCACTGAAAGTACAGAAACAGATTTCTACTCGTCACTAGCGCCTTCGCGGATCGTCCCGGGCCGGACACGTGGTTAGCTCACTTTGACAATCGGTAACCGATTGAATTTACCTGACGATACTGGCACGATCGACCGAACTACCACCGCCAACTGTAGGCACCGTACAGTTTTCGCCATTGCACGGTCGCTCGCCGTTACTGCTGCAAGAGGAAGTTCTGGTACTGGTACTGCCGGTGGCAGCTGTGGCAACAGCCGTAACCGTTGCCACCGCCGCTGTCTCCCGCATGGACGCTCGCCTAGATTCCTCGTGGCACTCGCACTTGCACTCTTCCGGTTGTACGTAGTTGTAACCACCGCTGACAGTCTTTGCGATCTCATCCTCTGGCCGCGGTATCGTTTGTATCCGTTTCGGTGCTTTTCGCTTCTCTGGTATCTCTTCGAAGTTGATCCAGTTGCTCAGCCGCACTGCTGTCGCTGATGTTGCTGATGATGATAATAATAATGATGATGATGATGATGATGATGATGATGATACTGTTGCTGCTGTTGCCGTTGCTGCTGCCGCCGTTGCCGCTGTTGATGCTGCTGTTGATGCTCTCGGTGGCAGTGGAGGTGGACTAGGTGATTTCCCTTGATTAGTAGCGCCTTTGCGACCGCCATCCGGCGGCACCTTGCCCGCAAATTCTGTAAACGTATTCGCTGTACTGGTGTATTGCCGACGCGGACTCTTCAACTTGAAGCTATCCTCTCGCGGCAGAGATATTTTCATTCGCTCGACACGCCTCTCATCCAGCGATGTCTGCATTACAAACTCGTCCAACAAGGTCGGGTTTATTGGTGTCGTTGAGCGCGGTCTCTCGATTGGAATTGTTCTGACAACAAACAACATGATATAAATCTTGAGTTATTAAAAATTGTTAAAAATTTGTCCTGCTCTATGTGTAATTTAATATTAATAGTTGATTTTCACATTAATATTGAATAACAAAGTAATTAAACTCAAACAAATAAATTTATATTATAATTTAGTATCATGTATATACACATGGTGTTCCGTTACAAAACCGACAAGTTTTGCCAACATGTTCGAAATGATTATTCTAAGCAAGAGTTCATATACATAATTGGTCGATTTTTCGTTCCCAAGATATGAGCATTTTGTACAAAGCATGTTGTATAAGGCCCCATAATAGAAGCTCTTCGATTCCATGTAACAATCATTTGATTTATCGATATGAAATGATATATTACCATTAATCACATTACAATCACAATTACATTAACACTCGATAAATTGTCCTCCTCCTGTTCACAAATTATTATTATTTAAATTGTTCATCTTGTGTAATAGACCCATGTAAACATACCCAGTTTGACCCAGTTGCTCCAGTGATTAGATTAGCAATGGTTGCGTTCAGCAGAGAAAACCAATCAGTTAGCGTTTAGTGATTCTTTAATACGATTCATTTCTACATTTAGATTTAGCGAAGAATTAAAGGCAAGAACCAATCGTATTAAAGAATCACTAAGCGCTAACTGATTAATTTTTTCTGCTGAATGCAACCAATGTTATGACAGATGCTACCAGCTGCAGCTTCCGCCTGCAGCTTAACACCTGTTCTTGTGAGTCTTCTAAAAAAAAACAGGAATGCAGTAACCGGGCATTTTACGTGTTCGGATGATGCTTCTGGTCCATTGGCATTTTTATTTCATATCTTGAAAACAAAGCCGAATTAATTCATGGTATGTATAAGTAATTCATTTGCTTCGACTGACCATTTGAATGTACTGATAAAACTTGTCAGTTTCATAATGGAACACCCTGTATATTGTTCGCGTTTGTCGTAATTTCCAAATTTTTATTTTAAAGAATTACCTTACTTCCTGAAGTCGTTGTTTAACCGGTAGAATGGGTACAGCTACGCTCTTTTCTAATGGCAGGGTCGTCGGTACATATGGAAGATCCTCCTCAAAACTCTCCTCATAGAAGAGACCTTTTCGCTCGTCCGGTAGCTCCTCGGTCAATTTCTCGACCTTATTGCGAATAAACTCAATCTCCGAATCTCTTTCGGATTCGGAGCTGTTATGATCCAGATCGGATATCACACTAGGCGCTTTTACTAGACCTTCCTGTTCCAACGATTTGCCAATTTTATCATCGAGGTAATCGAGTCTTTTAGTTTCTTGAGCAGCTCGAGAAGGCTCGCCCGAGCTTACTCTTTTCTGCTGCATCGCTACATCGTCGCTTATCCTTTCGGATAGTTCTGGTTGCTGCTGCTGATTCTCTTTGCTTTTTCTCTTCGGCTTTGTTATGTCCGGTTTTTTGCCGGTAGACTCTCTCGACAAGCCACCAGACAACGTTCGTAAGTCTGTCGATTTAATTTCCGATGTAATCGCTAGTTTAATATCTGGTTTAACCGTAGTCGATGACTTGGCTGATGGCATTCCGACTATTTTATTAGCCTGCGCGTTAATCTTTGAGTCCCTCAACGAACTTTTTAGTGTATACGAATCTTTTGGCTCGCTCTGCGACAGCTGGCTATCTCTGGACGAACTTCTGGATGCAATCTGCGTCACCGTAATCGTCTCAATCTGCGCCTCGGTCCTAATCTTGGCAATTGACGACGGATGATGCTCAATTGACACCTCTGTGATTATGCTACCCGTATGCGGTCCCTCAGATTCGTACTCATCCAGTAGTTTGGTCGGTGTTTCCAACGGTATCGAGACACTCTCTGATGGCAAGGCTTCCTCGTAGTTTCTGTCATCGGCATGCAAACTAATAAAGATCGAATTATCCTGATGATTCTTTTCCTTTTCCATATTAAACGTAAACTCCACGTGACCGATGCTCTCTAGAGACGGGTGTTCATCTCCACTAGCGACTTCAAGATCACATGAAGCTGCGATTGCCTCATCGTAGCTCTTCTTCCTCTCGCGTTTCTTAAACAAACTCAGCGTAGACGAAAACACCCCTTTATTCTTTGAATCTTTTTTCAAGATTGAACCCTTGTCGACAGAAACTCTTTCGCGTGATTTTGAACGACTTCTCAAACTCTCCGTAGTGTCCTTCAATTTCGACGTTAGACTCCGTCGTGGCTTTGTGCTAGGTGACGGTGATTCTGGGCTCAATACGTTACCGTCGGCTCTTGTCTATTTAATTATAAATACAATGGTCAACAATATGATTCAGCAACTTAATAGAAGATTAGATATTAAGTTGTATGCAAAATTATCGTTTTTTTTTTTAATCAAATTCTGTTTTAAATAAAAATTGTAAAATGTTTTAGAAAGACAATAAAACGCCCCTTAAAGGAAAATATGTATTTGAAGATGATTATTTTACATACACAAGAACCACATCAAAATTATTTAATACGTCTCATAATTTATTTTTGAAAATTCAACATAATACAACTAAACTAATCGATAATAATGATACAGTGAATAAGCCTATGTGAGCCAACACAAGTTCTTCGTGTGTAAATGTATATATATTACAATTAAATTAAAATACAGACGAACGTTTCAACCGTGGTATTGGATCCTCTTCAGTGTAATAAATAAAGATGACAGCATTCAATTATAATGAAAAATTGCGTTCTATAATATTCGAGTCGTCAGATCATCGCTAAATTATTGTCAATGTTTGAATTCTTCTTTAATATCTGTTGTATTTTGCAGAATAGAACAAGCGTAATTTAGAATTAATACAACTAAAAATAATAAAAAAAAAGAAAATTAATAAAGTCAGTTTAAAATCATCATAAGTCAATTTAACTTACATGGATTCAGTTTAACGATGGTCTGTTACAAAAATGATGTTGCTAGGTGTCAAGACTGTGTGAAAGGTCAATTCGCAACGATACTTATTATGTAGGATATACCGATAAACAATGTTATAGTCAAACATATAAATGAAAAATCACTAAGTTTTTAAATTCAATAAATTCAATAAATACCCTTATTTTTAACAAAAAAATTACTATTAGTAACATAGAAACATTCAGTCTTCCGTGACCAATTCATAATATAGAGGATTCAATAACTCTGTGTCCTTTTGTAGATTTAATCCATTTTTTTGCTTTTTGATAAAAAAATAGCCTCTGATATTATTCTTTTGTTATAATTCCTTTCCTCATCTAATATCATTATGTTATTTCAATCAAAGTTATGATTGTGTCCCATCCTATGCTCTATAATAACCGTGTGTTTTTGTGTTTCTATTGATATTGTTACGATGTTCACTAATTCTTGTCTTTAACAATCTTTTCGTTTGTCCCACGTAGGATGCATCACAATCCCGACAATTGATTTTGTACACAACATTAGATCGTGATAAGGTTGATAATTTATCTTTTTGACATTTGATAAACGCGCTCAGTTTATTAATCCCCGTGTAAGCCAATCGTATGAATTGATTACCCTTGAAGAATCTTTTGAATTTATCAGAAATGTGTGGTACATAAGGTACATATTGTAAAATAATTGAACCTCCCTTTTGTTTCACCATTAACTTTCTTATTCTTATCTACTGCTATTTTTTCAAAATGATTGAATTTGGCTATTAAATCTTTTTTTTTAATGTTCTTAAAAATTAATTTCAACGGGTATTCGTTATTTAACAAAATTTGAATAATGCATTCGAAATTTTTCCTGTGAAACATAGGATGTGATAAATATATTACTCTGTCGACTAAGTTCATGATATTCCCTATTTTTTGGCACGGGTGGCATGAATAAAAGTTTAGATACCTATCCGAAAAGGTAGGTTATGGTACCAATCATGAATTAATTTGTTGTCATTTTTTATTAGTGTCAAATCCAAAAAATTCAATTTGTCACCTCCCCTTTCAATTATAAAATTTATTCTAGAATGAAATTTATTGAATGTGTCTATCAATGTTCCGTTCCTGTGTCGCAAGTGCAATATCATCAACATATCTATAATAAAAATTTAAAGTAAATTGTAATTTATTGAGTGAAGCCCGTTCTAAATCCTGCATGACCATATCTGCTGCTATAAGGGATAAAGGGGATCCCATAGGTACTCCAAAAGTTTGTTTATAAAACTTATTGTTCAAAACAAAATACATGGAATCAAGAATTAACTTAATTGCTTTAATAAATTCTTTTTTCAAGATATTAATGTTGTTTTCAATGTTGCTCCACCTTCTTTCTACGCTCTCTATGACTAGATCTACTGGTACGTTAGTAAATAGGGATACAACATCGAGTGAAACAAGAACGGAATCATTAGATAAATTTAATTGTGTTAACTCCAACGCTAATTAAAAACTATTTTTTACATGACGACTCGAATATTATAGAACACAATTTTTCATTATAATTGAATGCTGTCATCTTTATTTATTACACTGAAGAGGACCCAATACCAGGATTGAAACATTCATCTGTATTTTAATTTAATTATATGTAATATATATACATTTACACACGAAGAACTTGTGTTGGCTCACATAGGCTTATTCACTGTACCATTATTATCGATTAGTTTAACTGTAGGAGCCTTTATTTATTGTTTTAATATTTATTATAATACAACTAATTTTCCTCTTTTCTTTGTTAATTGCTAATAAAAACCGCAAAATTCTATATTACGTAGATTTTATACATGTACCTTAAATAATGAAGCAAAACTACTTTTTCTAGATACGGACGATGGACTGGGTGTTCGCGAGCCTTCCAAATCACGAACTTTTTGATGTCTCGGCAATTTGGGACTTCCGGTAAGACTACTTGTCGTAGGCGTTGTCTGAACAATCTCCTTAAAGTTTTGAGCTTTTTTTCTTTTGTCATTAAAATCGAGTGTCGCGGGTTTCTGAACTTCTTGTATTTGAATCTTTGATTGATATTGCTGCTGCTGTTGTTGTTTCTGCTGTTGATGCTGTTGTTGCAGTATCGATCCTTGTTGTTGACCCGACTTTTTGATGATCGGAACCTATCTCATACATATACACACACAGTACGAGAAAAGATATAATATATTTAGCTTTCAGTCTTGCGAAAGCAAATATTCAAAAGAAATCCCTTTATATTTCGATTAGTAAGATTAATAATAGATCAGAGAAGAAAAGAAAGTTTTAGGATACTTTTGCGCATGGCATTACATGCCCATGTTTTATTCTGACGATACTGATAGAATTTTCCGATAAATTTAATAAATTCTATATTAAAACAATATAATTTAGTTTATATAAAAAGATTCTAATTCACGAGAGAAACCTCGCAAATATTGCCTCGATATTTCTCGATAGAATGTATCAGGCAACTGAAAAACAAGAGCTTAACAGACAGTACCAACCTCTATATTAACTTTCTCCAAAAATCTTTTGGTAATTTCCACTTCTCGTTTGAAGATTTCCTTCCGCTCCTCGCGACCGCGTCTTCTGGGCTTATCCAACGGATCCGGCTTCAGATTGCCACCCACCATAGGCACTTTAATACTCTCGGGAATCAACGCCTTCGTAGTATCGGCCTCCCGCTTCAAGAGTATTTTCTCGAGATCATCGGTTTCCGGTTTCGACGGTTCTATCAGATTGTCAGCCAACGTCGGCTTGCTTCCGCAGAACGACGTCTCTAGTAGACACTTGTGAGGACTGGGAGATCTAAAGGAAATTTATCAACAACTCGTTTTACCATTCTCATATCACGCTGTATAATTTTCCTCAGCAAAATCTTCACATTTTCCGTTAATAAATCTTTGACGAGGTCAAAGAAAATAATCTAGGAACTTTAAATTTTAAGCTTTGTGTATAAGTAGTAAATAATAATTTAAATAACACACAAGTAATGCGACAGTTATTCTTTAATAAATATTTGGCGTATATCGATGTAGCAAGAGAAACTTCAATTGCAAAACATATAAAAAGGAAGTTAATAATAGATCCTATAGAATGAGTCGATAATGAGATTTTCGAAAGAGACACAGTTCGATTCTCTTAAAAAACAAAATTTTGCACCACAACACACACAGTAGATAATAATGAAAACGAAAATATGTTACGCACGCACGCACGCACGCACGCACGCGCGCACGCATTTTCATCTTCATTATTTTGCGTTCCTTACCTGGAGGAAGTCGCTGACATAACCGAGAGCTTCCCCGAGACACCGGAGCCTTGACTACCAACCGACGATAACCTAGATGTTCTACCGCTGATGTTGAGCAAACATATCTCCGAGCAGTTACTGTCCTTGCGTTCACGATCCTGACCTAGTTGCTTGCCGCTGTAATCCGATTGGGATCCATCGGTCTCTTTTCGCTTTCGCCTTTTGGACTCCCGTTTGAGATCCTGTTCGTGGATGGGATCCTGTAAATCCAGCTCCTCCGTAGAAGATCTCAGATCTTGAGCGTCTTCCTTATAACCCAGAGTCAGCTTGCAACCGGATGGAGGATCCGCACCTAGAAATTCACGGGATCTCTAGACTTTTTCGTTCTTAAGGAGATCCTAAACCGATTACCGAACTTGATCGAGATAGATATTACAAACTTTTTTAATTCCAAATTCGATAATAGTGACATCTTTGATTCATTTCTTACATTATATTATATATCGTTCTGTCTCACTCAAACGCATACATCTTTCCTTATCTAACGTATACCAGCACCATCTATCGCAAGACCGCGCAACTAATACTACATGGAATTTCGGCTTTGTTGACATTCCTAGTTTTCGCAAAGCATCCGTATAGATACATATATTTTCCATTCGGTGAAAATACTTTTCTTCTAGACTTTCAATTTTAGTTCTACAAACTCGATATTGTTCATTGCAGTAATGTGACCTCAAATGCATAATTATTTTTAAGATATGAACTATAAAACTCTTATATCAAACAAATATATACCGAGGTGACAGCTGTACGAGCCAAAAGTGAATTTTTTAACTTTTTTTCGATTATTTTATGAAATTCAGTGTAGCTGAAGTTCTGTTTGTGCGTGATTTAATTCTATGATAATAATTTTGCAATCCGTAAATCCAATTCGGAGATTTTTCACCGAAGGGAAATGATGGTAAAGCAGGACGACTTTCGTATCCGCTTAAACGACGTTCTCTAAAAGTTTCTAATAACTTTTAAAGTCTATGTAGATTAAGTCGGACGTTTAAATGTTACGAAAGATTTCTCCCTTGCATTTGATATCATCAATGGTCCGTATGATCGCCTATAACACTTGAATAATTTAACCAGGGAATGGAAAGTTACTATTTAAAAGTAACAAGTTACAGTTACTCGTTACCGAGTAGAAAAAGTAACTAGTTACAGTTACTAGTTACCGATTTTTAAAGATAACTCGTTACAGTTACCGTTACTTGAAAAAGTAACTTTTCGTTACTTTTCCGTTACTTTTTTAAAATCGACGACCACCAATCACAGCAAACGAGTGCTTGGAGGCTTTCCACAGTCTCAAGCGCTATGAGTGGCTTGTGTCTGTTTGTCTAATCGATGTCCAATCGTAGAGATGTAAACGATGGAAAAATTCTAGAATTTTAGGGTAAAAAATTTGGGAAATAATGGTTTTTTTCCTTCGGCTTTGACAGTTTTTTTACTCGGATATTTTTTTAACATTTCACGATTTCGACGCTGTATTAATTTTAAAAGTGAAGTAAGTATTCCATACTTGTATTATTAATACAAATAATACTTTACTAGACTAATTGACACTATTTTTTGTCGTATACTGTGATTATACATATTCTAAATTTAAATTATAGTGAGACAACGTTCATCGAATCTCTAACTACGCTTAAATCAATATTATATTGGGATGTTGTCTTAAAATAATTAAAATATAGAGTACAATTATAATCAATATGCAACAAAACAATATTTATTATGCTTATATTATATTATCTATAGTATTATCTGTATTAATAACATCATTTATTTAGCTTTTAAATATATGAAATGTCTGTCGTTCCAATATATTGAAATAACTTTCTTTATGAATTAATTTTATGTAATTTAGTCAAAAATACCGTTATTTACAGTAAAAAAACTAATTGTTTGCTTGATACTTTTCTCCGAAGTAAAAAAATACCGTTTTTTACATCTCTATTCAATCGTGTGCTAAGTAACGATGAAAGTAACTGTAAAATTCGTTACCGTTACCAAAAAGATGTAACTAAGTTACCGTTACAGTTACCAAAAAGAAAAAGTAACGCAGTTATCAGTAAAGTTACCCAAAAAGTAACTTGTAACTGTAACTTCGTTATAAGTAACGAGTTACTTCCATTCCCTGTATGTATCATTTAACACAAGTCTATGTCACGTCTTCTCGCGCTTTCTACAAAATATATAAGTGTGAGTATATAAATGTATCGTTCGGCCATTCGAATTTTTAATTCGGCTTATACTTGAGTTACATGTCAACATTCAATATTCATTACTTCACCTATAGGTAAGACCAAAGTTGACAAACGTTATTTTACAGTTACTTTGCCGTTACTTTTTATAGTAAACAGTTTAATGACGATATTGCAATTCTTTATGACGGTAATGCTAACTAACTAAACGCTAAGGTTATGCAAAGGTTAGAAAAGTCACTTTGAAAAGTAATTTTGTCACCATTATGAGTAACCAGGGTTGGAAAGTAACGCGTTACTTGTAATGCCGTTTTCGTTACTTTTTTCTGTCTGTAATGGTAACGATAACGAATTTAGCCGTTACTTTAATTCTTATTATTTTAACTTATTTTATAATTTATTCTTAATTTCTTAAAAAAATTTCGTATTTAATATCTTATACTTCTAATATACTACCAATTGAAAATATATAATTCACATTACATATACAGGATGTCCCATTTTTAATAATGCATTAAGATTTCTCGAAAACTATAGTAGATACGGAAAAATGTTTCAAACAAAAGTTGTATGGTTTGGAGGGGGACATAAGAAGGTACTATTGATTTGACCTTGGTCAGATTATTCCTCTTATTTTCATGTTTGCACTAAAAATTAATTTTTATGTAAAAACAAAAATAAGAGATACAACCTCCAATGGCTTTGATCTTGACAAATGTTATCCAGGACATGATCCTGAACAACATTTAAGAAGTTTTAGCCGTCGATCGGACAACTTGCGTAATGCTAATGCCAGCTGTACTGTAACTTTCGAGTCTTATAACTTGAAAAATACTTAATGAAAAAATATTTTATTATAGTGTTTCGAAAAACTCTCAAGGTAAACTACAAGAAAATGTAATGAAAAATAGGAGGTTCCATTTAAAAAAATCGACCTTGATATGGCGACTCCACCCAAGGTCAAATCAATGGTACTTTCTTATGCCCTCCTCCGAACCATACAACTTTTGTTTGAAACATTTTTCCGTATCTACCATAATTTTCGAAAAATCTTAATGCATTATTTAAAACGGGACACCCTGTATACGGTAAATTTTTGGTACGGGCAATAAATATTGAAATACACATAACAGTAACCCTGGTGGAAATAAATCGTCGAAATCGCTGAAAATCGCTGAAATTTCTATCAATTGACTCATTTTATTATGAATTATACTAAAATAGGTCTATTGATAAAAATTTCACCGATTTATTTCCACCAAAGAACATTAACATTTAAAAACAATGTTTAATCTATTATCTATTTAATCTAAGTTCTTATAAAAATAAGTACATTAAAATAAGGATATTAAGAAAATAAAAAATTAGTAAAACTGTAGGCAAGTTTAATATAGAGAAAAGCTTGCTCTATATACAAACTAGTTAGTAGAGAGTTTCAAGTTTGAATATTCATTTCACATTTAATATTAAATTAATTATCAGCTAATATAATTTTAAAATCTAATAACTTACTTTAGCATTATAAAAAAAAGTAACGAAAAAGTAACAAATCGTTACTTTTCAAGTAACAGTAACGCGTTACTTTTTTGAGGTAACGCGAACAACCCTGCAAGTAAAGAATAAAAAGTAACGCGTTACAAATTAGGAGTTATTTTTTTCAGTAACGAATGACTTTTCCAACCCATTACAAGTAACGATTGACTTTTTTAACTCTGATGTTAGCATTATCCCAGTGAGAAATGACAATAGAATCGACGTCAAATCGACGTCAAATCGACATCGATTCGACATCGATTCGACATCGATTCCATTGTTATTTCTCATTGGGACCGTCCCCAATAAAAACTTCACAATGTCATTACCAAATCGTTATTAATATATAATAAGACAACGATCAATCAAAAAGGCGTTACAAGTAACACGTTACTTGCTATATAATCCTGGGGAAGATTTTATTTTTTTGGTATATTTAATTTGCAGGAACATTTTAATGACAACATTTGACGAGATACGTATAAAGAGAAGAATTAACACTAGCATTGATCAATATTCATTCGTAATAGTGAAAATATTACACAGAATAGGTAAGAACTCCTATAACCTTTTTTGCAACTGACAAAGATTGACAACAGATTATGGCAAATAAAAAACATATTTTGTTAATGCCGGTACTGCTAGCACATTTCTATAAAATATGCGATAACTTTGTCAGCGAAGTATATATGACAGAGAAGCGGTGAAAAGCGAGCAGGTCTGTTCAACGTATTGATAACAAATTGACAGCAGATCTTAAGCAATTTTGCTATTACAAAAGTGTCAGCGTTTTTCACGAAAGAATGCAACATTATTTGTTCGTCAAAATATATTTGGCACCATTTTGTCGGCGCATTAGACAACAGATTTGACCTGCATTTGGAATCAACCTGTCATCACATTGCTATTACCAAATTTGTTCTGATGTTGGTTTCAATTTGACTTCAAGATATGTTCTTCAAATATAGTTTACATTGGAAATCCTATTGCGAACACAGTAGGCTCTAGTTTTGACATATTATTCCGCTGGAATTTATTGCCAATTTTATATTATCTTGCGTACAAAATGTTTGTTGGGAAGTTTCGCGGGTTATCTCAGAAATGTATTCTCAGAATGCATTCTAACAATAAGAATGGATTTGGACACGGAGATATAACTCGCGAAAAGCGTAGTTTCTGTATAGAAAGTATTCGTAGAAGACGCAAGAATATTAATAAATAAGAAAATTGTGTCAGTAATGATCAAATGATGAATTTGATTGATCATTACATTACACAAGATTCGAAGTTTTAATGACGTAATTTGTGCAGTATGTACGTATGTCGTGCAAAAATCCATAACAACAATAAATCCACTAAATAATTGAGATGGACAATCGATAGGAAGGTAGGGTCAAACGATTTAAGTTCTTCTAGTTGAATCGATCAAAAACCTTGACCTAAGGAATTCTTTTTCAGAAACTATTCGAAATATGCACAATCTGTGCACGTAAAGCTCGCTTCTTGTACTCGCCCAATAAGTTCTCAATTTAATCACGCTAATTCGCCTTGGATACATGTGTTCGATTACTGCGTCAATGTTGTATATTATGTCATGTTGAATTAATGTCGCAATTAATAAAGGTAAACCTTCGGATGAGCTGCATATTCGAAACGAAACAAACGACCACGTGTTTTTGATGTATTTTTGGCTCCTGAAAACAAATATGACAGCAGAAATTGGCGCTCGGCCGTATCTTGGCCGCAATTTCGAAAAAACATCGAAAAAACGTGATTTTTTTTAGTTTTTTGTATTTATTTCGAAAAATGCAAATCGTATGAAAAAATGTTTCAAACAAAAAATGCAGAGCGGAAAATCCTCTACAAATAAGGTTTGATACACTTTTGTCGTATCTTGTATAATAAACGCGTAATCCGTAGTTAAAGTACCCAACTTAATCAATTAGGTTTCTCGCAAGTGAAATGTGCCGAAATTTAGTATATATGAGGACGTGATTCGCAGGCATTTTATACAGTATCTTATAGATATATTAATCCATTAAATTAATAACCATTAATAACCCATGTGGATA